TCAGCCCCAGACTTTGCGCTCTCCCACCAGAATGGCACCTAATTGAAAACAATGACATCCCCAGTGTGCCAAACACTCCAGTCATTAAAGCATTTTTATTTTGGAATAAAAGAGCACACTTCCAGCTTTTTTTTTTTCCTAAATAGTAAATATAAATTAAACATTTCTCTTCTGTTTCCAGAATGGCATCCGCCCGCAAAGCCATGGCTGATGTCAAACACTTCTCACAGGCTCTCCTCAAACCAAAGGGCTGCTTTTAGACACATGACAGTGTATTTACCCAAAGCACAATGCACAAAAGGCTGCCTCTAACAGGTGACATGTCCTTAACCTGGTGACAATTTCACAAACAGCAGTGACCCCAACACAGGGGCTGGTGTGAGAATCACCAGGAGCTGCGGGAAACCTCAGGTAGTGTTTTACATCTAATGGAGCAGACGTACCTCACGCTGTATTTTTGCACTGGTTCTGGTTCCCCTGTTCAAACACCCCTTTGGACCAAACGGTAACCATTTCTCCCTCTCTGGCATCTACTTTGTGTTGAGCTCTCACTGAGAGGAGCACTAAGGACTTTGGAGAGCAGCTTCTTAACAACATCCTGGTGGCCATAGTGGGGCAAAAATTGGCAGGCGATGCTGTAAGCTTCTTGTCGGGCCCTCAAGAGAGCCCAGGCTGCAGAGCGAGTTTTTGTTGTTATTTGAAACGACAAGAAGAGAGATGGCATCAAAAGCCATCCCCAGCGCCACTTTCTGCTTGAGGAGAAAGCTCAGCACAAGAGCTATTCGTATTCAAGAGTCGTTACTATTCATACGGCTCTTGGCCAGTTCACAGAGCTCTTGCCATCCACCCACGAGCTGCAAAATGTGCTGCCTGTTGTGGCCTTGGGCATGGGCAGCCCAGGGCAATGAGCCACCAGGCAAGCGAGGCTGCCACGAGCTCATGAGGTAGAACATATATATATATATTTTTTTTAACCTAATATGATGTGTGAAAAGAAATTTCTTTAAGTTATTTTTAATTCTAATTATTCTTCCTTATCGCAACCGCGCTGTTTGTCAAGGTGAAGACCAAAGTCAATAGGCAGAGGCAAGTCTGCGCAGGAACATCCAAACCTCGATACACTCGAGTGGAAATACAGGCAGACAGGGCGGTGTCTCTCTCGCATACCTGCCCTGTGCCTCAGTTTAGAAACCAGTACAAAGAAAGTATTAGAAATAAACTTCAAGCATCACTGCATAGGGCGGAGGGATAGCTTGAAAGGAGAAGCGGTAGGGCCGGGAACAGACATACAGGTGAGGATTATTTAAGATCTGGGCGGCTGGGAGGGCTCTAGGCTGCACCGAGGCCTCTCTTGAAGCCTAAGGGTTTACGGCAGTCGAGGTGATGGTAGCGACCATTGCTCGACAGCTGAGAGATTTACAAGGCATTTCCCAAAAACATAATTTCTCAGCGGGATCTCTATCAGAGTTTGTCAGGGTGATATTTAATGGTTGGCAAAACATGAGTAAATAAAAGCAGATCAAGATGATGTTATTACAATAACAGATTACATTACAATTCCTTGTCCCTAGGAAATCCCTGATTAGAACAAGATCTTCACCGGGGTCTTATGAATAAGTCACACGCGGGGCTCTAATGGCCCTGCGTGGCAGCGCGCGAGCCGCAGGGCTCCCCGCTGCCCGGGCCTCGCGGGACCCTTCACGGGGTCCCTGAGCGTGGCCACCGCGGGCCGCGATTGCAACACAGACGGGGCCAGCAGTTCTGCAGCATGAACTAGCCGCTCCGCTGATGCCAAAGGAGCGCAGCCGGTTTGCAAAAGCAAAAACCAACCTTTTTAGTCCCTTTTTATGCAAGTCTTTACTCTTGCTGCTCTTGAAATCTAATTCAAACCCTTTCTGCAGAAGGGTCCCTCGGTCAGTGTATCACCATACAGAGACAAGCGTGTAGAAAAGGAGGCTTTAGTCAGCAAACACACCAGACACTTCAGGCCTTTAGGGGCCACGAGAGCCTGTCTGGGACCTGTACTCGCATCGTTACTGCACTGAGAGAAAATTATCTTTGGCTCAGGAGTGTCAGGACAGCTCTGAACCCATGAGTGACTCACCCTCAGGCAGCAGTGTTTAATTTCTGAGCCATTTATCTCCTTGCACACACCCCAGCACAAACAATTATAGTTAGTAATTTGTTGATCTTATCAAGGCCGTTTGATGTTACTATTGCTACCTCCAATAATGCTGCGCTTTGAAACTTAAACAGAATTTATAACCAGAGTCTGATACTGTGCACACACTTCCCACTGCAGAAAAGTTTAACTCTTTGGCATCTCAGAGGCTCCGTATGCAAAATTTTGGGGGAAACAACCATCACTTGTCCTGCTGATGTATCTGGCAGTCCAGCCTGACAGCGAAACCCCAGCCAGACTGTTGCCTGTGCTCTGAGACCTTCCCGGATCCCTTTCCTACACACAACAGCCGTCCTAATGAGACCCCATTGCCTGCTAAATTGAGGCATTAAATTGAGGTGCTAAATGAATTGAGCTGGGGCCCTGTCCTGAGGTGACGGGCGCGCACGTTACCACACCACACACACACATTACCACACAACACGCACATAACCACACGTTACCACACGACGCGTGCACAGCAGCCACCAACAACTGCTCGAAGTCAGCCTTGAAACACCCAATTTACCTTCAAAACGCTAAAAAAGGCCCAATGAGCACAGAGCCGCTTCCATCCGCTGGGACACAATGATGAGCACCGTGACTTTGATTTTTGTTTTTCAGAGCCTCCAGTGGTTTTCTTGGTTTAATTGCAGTGAAATGATAGGATTATCATAATCAAACGTAAAGAATTAGCATTCAGAGAGTAAAAATTTAAACTAGTGATTAGTTTTAAACAATATTTTTTAATGATTTCTCGGTGAGCTGAGTTCCTACACCCTGCAGCACAAGGCATACAGTGCACACCATGGACATCTTTTTCCTATTTCAGCTTGCCGGCCACACCTGATAAACACTGCATTTATAAAGACCCTGAAACCCTTCATTCTTCTGGGGGATATCCGGAGTCTATAAAGAAGCTCAAATAAGCAGCTGAGAGATGTCCAGATACATCCCGTTGGCTCTTGCATCACCCAAATGTTTGCTTCAGTTTTCCTGTATTTCAGGCAGCTCTAGAAGTTCGTCACTGGGCAGCAAGCGCCACCAATGCACTTCATTTCAGGTATGGTGCTCTGGAAACCATGTACTTTCAATTTCCATTTTATTAAATACATTAAGCTAGATATTAAACTCCAGCCCACTCTTGTTGTGCTGTCCTGGTAGGTGTTGATTAGCATGGAAAATTACCTCCTACCTAGGAGGAATCCCTGTCCTCCTGTGGGAGGAATCCCACATGTCAAGTGCCACCCATGCACTGCCAACGGAGGGGAGCTGTAAGCCCATCCGCGTGTCCACAGCAGGGATTTGGTTTGGTCAGGATGCCACTTGCACCGTCCGTGCCCTGCTCACTGCTGCCGCGCACGCGGGACACGCTTTGCTTGGTTTGCAAACGCAGCAGGAGCAGCCCCGGCCGGGCTGCACGAGCCCTGCGAGCGCCGCAGGGGCCACCCGGCACCGCGGGGCGGCACCGCCTGCCCACACGGGCACCGACGCCTTCCTCCTCCTCTTCCTCCTCCGTCCCCAGTGTGATGCAGACCTGCAGAGGCACCACAGACCTCCCGCCTTCCACAGCAGATGTGAGGAGGACACAGAGGCTGCAGCCTCTGCCCCAGCTGAAAGGCACACGGAGCGTGTGCTGGGTCCAGGGTAAGTCACAGTTCTACCTAAAGCACCTCAGGTGCTTGAAACTTGCTGCTTTCACCTACACATTTTTAGAACTTGTACATCCTAAATGCACAGAATCACTCAAGAGAAACACAGACATATTTAATGTGGCAGTTGCCACAAGCCACTGGTGACAGGACTGACAGAGCTCATTAGATTATTCTTTTAACAAAACTTCTGCTTTTATTATTGAATAATCAATTAGCTTCAGCAGTTAAAAAGAGAATTATTAAAACAGCTGGAGAGATAAGTTATCCAAGCAAGTTAATAAACTGAAACATTTATGTTATAAAATAAATATTGTATTTTAATAAAAATTGTAAAAATAATCTTCTCTGAATATTATAATAGATCTCAAAAACCCTATCAAAAGCAGCTTTGCTCAATTTTTTGGGGAAGCGGCCCAGAGGCAGTGCTTCCCAAGGGACCTTGCCAGGCAAGAGGCAGCGCTTCCCAAGGGACCTTGCCAGGCAGGACCCGGCTGCCGCTCCCAGCTCATGAATGCCGAGGGGGGCTGCACACTGATGAGCCGTGCTCCCAACGCTGATGACAAGCAGACTCGTCACAGGAATGACAGGAGCAGGGGGCCCGACGGAGCCACGGACAGCACCGGGGTCTCTCCCAGCCCCGGCCCTGTGAATCTGCACTGAACACAGTGCCACCTCCGTGGACCGCACAGGCAGGCTGGGCTGAGAGGAGCATGCACGACATCAGGAGCGGCCACTTCAGCCTCCACAGTCCAGTCATTTCCAGACACAAAATACTTTTGAAAATGATTTGCACAAAAAAGCACCTCAGTCTCAACAGATAATTGAATTTTTCTACATATATTTGCTCTCCCCAGTAAAAAACATTTATGCTGTATCGTGTTTATTATCCTTACTATCATCTCTCAGTGCGTGTCCATCTACAAATTCATTAACTTTTGGGGAACAAATCATTGGCATCCTAATCTTCCGATTCCCATGAAAGACTCACTTTGAAGACACAATTGCAGCTGCCCCACACTGCCAGTTACTGTATCATACACGTCTTAAAATTCCGTAATCAGCATCCACCAGGTGCCGTATCGCATTCAGCACACCACAGTCACTCAATACAGACAT